CCCACTTTTTCCTCCAAAACGGCCGTCGAGCGGGGGGGGGGGTTTCCTTTTCTAGGGGGGGTATATACGCCGGCTGAAACGGCAAATTTTTATCTTGCGCGCCCTCTACTCGCACAACCTACTACCCACGAAATCTTAGTTTCTCCTCAATCCCACACGTGATTTCGAGCGACTAAAGTGGGTACGACCCCCCTCCTACAAACTCAACCAGGTACGACCCCCCCGTTGTTACTCGTAACAACGCGCCCCCCCCCCCCCCCCCCCTAGACTGGACCCTAGAGGATGGCGAGCGATCCAATGTCAACACAGGAACGAACCCACTGCACCAATCGACGTGTTTGTGACCTAGGATCATGGCCTAGATGATTGTACAGTAGTGAAATGCTCCCAGGACCAAGGAAGGAGCTATAACACGATCAATAAGTGGAACACTGCGGGGGACAGCTGATCACCTTATTGGCAGAAAGTTATCAATATTATCGATAGCTCCAGTGGCTTTCTTGCTGCCTCCACTCAACACCTTCACGTACCCCTTTCTTCCCTGCGCTCTGCGCATGGCAGGGAAGGTCGAAATCACCATATATTGACAGAAATATTGAAAGGGGAGTCGGTTTAGCCTCCTTTTAACGTTCACAATTGAGTGACGCCTGTAAGAAGTGAATGAAACTCGTCCACCGCCATCGCGGCGTCGCGGCCGCGACCATAAGCGCGGCTCTTCGGACGATTCTGTTGCTACACGGCCTTGTGCCGGCAACTCCGTCGCCGGCGATTCCGTCGCAGTCGACTCGGCGATTTGCATTCGCTGTACACTCGTGGTGTACCGACGCATCGCGAGTTGACAGAGGTGTTATTGCTGAATAACATTGACGACCCTGCGTTGACAGCAATTCACAAAACACAGAATTTATTAACTTGTCGACGCGAAAAACAGAACGAACTAGCATTTACAATAGAAATTTTCAAATCGATTAGGTAACCAGTAGAATTTTTATTGGAATTTCACCAGAGTTAGCGCATCCACTAACGCATTGGCGACATTGCGTCTCGACCTAGGGACTCACTTTTTTGCATAGAAGTATATTGTGGTTTCAAATTTGTCACCGATAAATATCATCAAAAAAAGGCAACACACACAGTAGTTGTGGTCATCATGGTCGTCCGTGCATATCTTTTCAGCTGCTGTTCTAATCAAATGGGATTTGAAAGTGAACCTCTAAAGTAAAGCTTGTCACTTCAAAAGGTATACAGCTGGGTTTTGCGAGCAGTTAGCTAGAGCTGATACGACTTCACGCAAAATGAGATTTGAATCGAGCCCATTTGGAAAATGGAAAATTGGAATTTTTCGTATTGAGTAACGAGACCCCATGGGATCCAACAATATGCTACACGCTTGGCGAATTAGAAGCAATCGACAAGATCTTGGACACTCGACAGTTTCTTTCAATGGGATCCAACATTTTGGGTACTGGGCACGATACGCATCGCGCGGCGAGAAGCAGAGACACAGATGGTTCAGTGAACAAGATAGCAGCGCTTTCTATGCTAATGTGGGACATACTGTAGTAGATTTCATTTACCTTGATGCCAATTCGCTACAGTGCGCACTGCGACTCGTCCGCTGACCCGTCTGCGTCTCTGCCTTCTGCGCACGCGGCGTTCCTTCGCGTGTAGTCAACACTTTTGGTGTAGATGGGTTCCTACATTATGGAACATCTTTTGGAAATACAAAAAATGCGCTGTGTTAAAGGGCAGGCACGCAAAAAAACGCATTGTCGCCAACGTGTTAATGAATCAAATACGAAATCAGGTCCAGTCGAAGCACCAATGATCACAGCGAATGACGGATAGGGCATAATGCCCCTTCTACCGCTCGCTAAGTGGAGAACAGAGCGCCTCTGATTGGGTTTGCGTACAATAACCAATCTGAAACACCTCTCCCATCCTCACTTCATAGCAGTACGACTGAGCGCTGATAAAAAGGCACAGTACTCGAGAAGGGCTACGAAGTAGTGATGGACACTTGGAGGATCTTAAAGAGATGTTACGGCACAACCACATTATGCGTTGTCAGGAATATTCAAATAACCGACTTTTAACTAAACACAGTCATGAATTTTAAGTCCATTAAGAGTACTCGTAGATTAAAGGAAGCAACAAATGATCATTTTAAATAAATATGTTTGAAGAATGTGTATGTATGAATAATATTTTGTTGATATTTTAAGCCTAGACTACTGAAGCAGTATTCTTAGAAGTAGCTGAAGTTAAAAAGCTTTGAGGTGACATTTCTATCACCAGCTTCGGTCATCAAATCCTCTGGATTGGAGTTCTCCAGCGACTTCTCGTATGCATTCCAAATTGTGCGGTGATGATCGAAGAACTCTGGTTTCGGCAGCGATTTTATATCGTCTCTAAAACAAGTGAGGGAGAATGTCTACGACTCTTCAGAAAATACGAAATAAAGACAAAAAATAGACGGGTCATATTTTAATAATTGCAAATTTGTGATGATTCAATGATGATTCTTCAAATTATTCCAGTGACAACACACTACAGCATCAGCGAGCTATAGGGCTTGAGCTTCCATAAGTGAACACACGTCCCTCAAAATTCGCATCTGGATAAAATTACCCCACTAGCATATCTCTAGCACTTCACTGGATAGCATTCCAGAATATGCAAGTTCTTGAAGTTCCAGCTATTATAACCTCTTTGAAATTGGTTTCTGTAAGCTATGTTAAGCTGATTTGCAACATTGTTCGCCCATCTCATTCACGGTTGTGCCTTACAGGCACCTACCGACGTAAGCAAACCAGCCCTTTTGGCGTTTCGGCTGGGACCGTATGCTGAATGTTGGGGAGGGGATGGGGTCCCCAACGGTCGACGGTTTACTTCAACTCGGTTGGTACGATAGGAGAGTACTGACGCAAGTGGTGCAGCTGGTCCAGCAGCTCCGCCAGAAGGGCTGGTTTGCTCACCCCAGGACTAAGCCTTGGAGAGGGGACGGACCCGTCCTCTCTTTAAGGCTTAGTTCTGAGGTAAGCACCAAATTGTGGCGGTTCTAAGGACCGAGTTGAAGTGGTCCGTCCACCGTCGGGGACTCCATCCCCTCCCCAACATTCAGCATACGGTCCCAGCCGAAGCGCCAAAAGGGCTGGTTTGCTTACGTCGTCTTGAGTGATGTACAACAGCTTGTGGAATTCGGTCATACTCAGGAATTCTCAGCAGAACAATTCGTTCATTCTGCCACATCTTACCTTCAGATAGCTCACACCGCAATACTGGCGTAGAGTTGCACGCTCTGATAATCCTTAACAAGTGCTCTCGCTTTTTTGCG